CAGACTTTGTGTGTATATTTAGTGGAGCAACAGATACATAAGAGAATGTTTAAAGTGTGTAGAATTTATAGCAAAAGATCATAATTAAAAACTTGATTTCCCACGCAGTATTGTGAGGTCTTACTGTTTGGCAACCTTAATTCCGTGGTGGAAGAATGTTTTAGATTATTTCTAGCTTGTGTTTTATTATACAGTGGGATGTAAATGATTATGAATTATATAATAATAGAGAAGGAACTTCATATAATTCTTCTGCCTTTGATTGTTACTAAAAATACCTCCTTTGGGTGTGTTATTGGAGAGGAGAAAAAGTCTTATCTGACACCTGCATTTTTGTGTTTGTGCCACAATTTGCAGAAGCAACATTTCCTTTTATTTCTCTGGTATTTGTGTTGTTAATGCACATTTTACCAAGCCAGTGTCTTACAGAACCGTGTCCTATGGCTCCAGCTGTCTCTTTCTTTGCAAATGCTAGTGATATAAAAACAACAAGCAGAAGTGGCATTTCCTTTCCATGTGCCATAGCAAAGTATACACAAGGTAATATTTTGCTTAAGTTTTTAATCTAGGAAAGTAATATTTCCAACAGTCAGCATTCAATGCCTCTGATTCTCACCTCCCTTGCATATTTTCCGTATCATACGGGCCACTTTCACATCCTGTTGGTTCACTGGCTCATTTTCAAGCAAGTAGCAGCTGACACAGGTGGCCAAAAGATTTCATTCTGAGGGGATGATGATTCAGTACTGCAAGGAGTGGGGTATGTGTATATAACACTTCTGAAAAGTGCCTGAGTACTGAAAAATAAGTTATCAGTTCTTTCTTGCCATCAAGAGTCTACTTCAAATCTTCAAGAAGCATCTTGCAGTAAAATGAGGTGACTGTGATGGGGGCTGTGGACTGCTTTTACCTAGCAGAAGGGCTGGGCAGCCCTTTCTGCCTCAGACTTGTGGCTGTCTGTATTTACACACAGGCAACAGGCAGGTCACAAGCTCAGGTAGAGATCACCATGCCAGCCTGGGGTGAGTCATGCATACTTTGGTCACGTTGTTTGACTTCGAAGAGGGATGCAGGTTTTGGTAGGAAAGAAATACTCTGCGTTTGCTTTGCTGTCCCTTCCTATTCTTTTTGTACTTGATAATTATTTCAGCACTATTTGATAATCACTCACCTTATTCATAGAGTTTATGGAATGAACTGAACCTTACAGATCATCTAGTCCCAACCCCCTGCCCTGGGCCGGGACATTTCCTCCCTAGATCAGGTTGCTCAAGGCTCATCCAGCCTGGCCTGGAACACCACCAGGGTCAGGGCAGCCACCACGTCCCTGGGTAGCCTGTGCCAGTGGCTCACCAAATTCACTGGCTATTTGCTGTCTTCTTCAGTGGCCTTGCCTTTTTCCGTGGAAAAGTCTTGCCTGAGCTGACTTTGGAGACACATGTTTTCTTCTCCCAAATTGATCTTTCCTGAAAAGCTTATCAGCATTGCTTCTGACTGAGCAGGCAGGGAGGTGTGATTGTTGCCTTTACAAGATCATTTTGTGTTTGGAGAGGTCATTGGGGTTTTTGCTGCATGCAGAAGGTCTAAGTTGTCAAATGGCTGTAATGTCATCAAAGAATGATACCAGTGTCCAGAACAGCCCTTCAGTCCTGATTAGTTTGAGTAGGACATGGTAGCATTGAACTGTTCTTCCTAAAATCAGGAAAACGTGTATAAAAAGGGAGAGTGTTGTTTATATTTTCTACTTTCTTTTTAATTTCAAATGTTCCTTGCTTTATTCATTGTAAATTCTCTGATCTGGATTCTATTTGTAATGTTATTACATCTAGTAAAGTGTATCCCCAGTTGAAATTTGTAGCGAGACAATATTAATACTTTGTGCGATTTTAATTAAAAGATAATTTATATATACTGTGTATGGGCTTACAAATCATGAGTTTAATCATGAGAACTGATTTGTGCCAATCTTGTTAACATTGATGAACTAATAGAGTCCTGTCTGGACTGGATGATTTTTTTTCTCTCTTACAAACTCCTGCATAGTGAGGTTTTTAAGGAATCTTTAAAAGATAGTGTTTACTCTCAGGTTTTTATCTATTCTCATGCAGTAATAACAATACATTGATATACTGTGATTATTATTTCTGATTTCCAACCTGTGGTCTTGTGTCCTTGAGATTCTTGGATTATTTTGAGTGGACTTCTGAGAGAGATCTAATAACTTCTGTTCCTATCAGAAAACTCCCATTCACAATAGTCACTTGCATCTCCACTGGGCTATTTCTAGGCATCTGCAAAAGGGAAGAGCTTCCTAAGTGCTGCTTCAGGATGTCACTTACTCTGCATCTGTGTGTCCTTTGGATGATGTTTCTCACAGCAGCATTTTGGTGTGTTCTCCTACACTTCTGTGCCCTTTCTTTGCAAATCAACCTCTGCCACCTCATTATGATAGAAACAGAAGTGGTGCTATTTGCCTGTGAGGTGCAGTGGTGTTTGCCAGGGTTGTGGGGTGAGCTCACAGGTACCAGACCTTTTCCTGCACTGCTCTGTCTCCTTGACAGTGCCTGGTGAAAATATAGATGATTGTGATCCTATGAACTAACCTCATTCCTTATTCCATCTATGTCTTTGAATAGATTTCTCCAATATTAATATCTTATGTTTTTTGTAAGTTACTCCTTGCTCAGACCCAGCCAGACCATACACCTCAGAGCTGAGCTAGAATACAGAGTGTGAAGGTTAAATGGACTCAAGGAATTTAACTTTTATGTTTGTAAAGGGCAAAGTCTGTAAGTTTTCATAAAAAAATTGTGACTGGACCATTCAGACAACAGCAAAAAATGTTTTACGTCGAGGTGTTTTAACCATTTTTGAAACATGTCATAACTGTAATTATATGCATGTTTTTGAGCTGAGACTTTTTGTCAGATTATACCCAGGAGAAATATTCCCTTTCTGTGGAGTTTACAGTGCTGTTAGTGGAAATCTGATCAAACCATTCAGCTAAGAATTGCCAATGTAAAGTGAGTTTTAAGATCACTAACTTACCATATTCAAACAAGAAATAAAACAAGCAGACCAGTTGTAGTGCCTGCATTGGGTTTTGTTTATTTGTTTTACCAGTAAGGAGGATTTGATTCAATCTAACTTCGCATTCACCAGTGCTAACACTTCACTACACCAAAGTTTATGCCTCACCACCGGCATTCATTTGATTTTAATGTGTTGACTGTGTTCATCTGGCTGTACTGCATTTAGAGGCTTGGTTAGGGCAAGTCTAGCACTGTGAAGGGGTCACCACTGGTTAACCTTTCAACTGGACTTCACAGCCTGCTATGAGTGAAACACAGAGAGGCTTTTGGTTTTCATGGGATAAAGGAACAATTCACATCATATCATACTATGAAATACCTGCGGGTTGGTGGAGCTGGTTTGTGCCCAAGAATGCTTGACTGTACCTCTTTGAATCTACTTGTGGTACTGCCTGAGTTACTGTGAGAGGGATGTCCTGTTCCTCTGAGGTTTTCAAGCACCAGAGACACTTTGCACTTCATTGTGTTAAGTATTGGCACCATAAACAGTGATGTTACCTACAGTGGTACAGGCCAGGACAGAATTACTTGTAAAAGTAGTTCAACAGTGATGTTACCTACAGTGGTACAGACCAGGACAGAATTACTTGTAAAAGTAGCTGTAGGGCCTAAATGGTTGCTTTGGCTAAGAATTAATGAAATAAGGTACCTGCTTGAGTCAGTTTTTGATAGAAATCACTATTTTTTAGTAATATATGACTTACTGGAGAAGTAGGATTTAGTTGTTTATGTTTATGGATCATGGCTCCTGTTGTACATTTGTCTTCACTGAGGATCTTCTCGTTTTCCCTCCTGTTTAAGAAGCACCAGGTTGATATTTCAGTCTGAGTCAGAAGCTGCATTTACAAGTTCTGTAGTAGATTTCAGATGCTGCTGAATAACACTGGAATGGGATTTTATAACATCCTTGTTTAAAGATGTCACTGCCCTGTTGTGAGACAGTGCAGTCTGTGGGGCCAATTCTCAGCACAGGTTACTGGTGCAGCAACACCTTGGTTAGCCACAGCAGAGGTGGTGACATGATCCCACTCAAATGTGTGAAAGTGACTGGAGTTTCTGCCCTCCTGGCTGAGCTGTGGCGGGTGAGTCTGTGCACCTGATCCTAACTCACGGCAATGCAGAGTGAAACAGGTCACCTAACCTGTGGCCTTAGAGCTCTGAGACCCTCAGTCAGTAATTTAAGCCCATATTACTCTGTTCATAATGGCTCAAGAATGTATGTGTTGCACTGTGTGTTTCACTGACAGGGACAAGTGTCATCGTCTGACTGTGCCTGTCTTTGGATTTCACAAAATTCTGCATTAACCAACTGTGTCTCTTCCTAGCGTGTTTGCTGGGGACAAACAGCAGTGGGGCACTAGGAAAGGGTATTCACACAGAATCAGAAATTTCATGTCATGTCGTGACATTCCTGACTGTATTTTACGCTGTAGTATCCTTGACCTTGTTTACTATAACTAGCTTTGAAGCAGGAGCCTTTCTCTAGCAATTTCTGGTCAAGCTTGGAATATTGGGACACAGAGCATAACATATGCAACGTGTTTTCTATAAGGATCTTTAGGCAGAGATTTTAAAGACACATTCCTTTACTGTTTCAACAGTTGACCAGTACAGAAATGCTTATTCCACTTGCTGGCAGTGAGTGTAAAGACAAAGGTGTTGCTGCCTGTGTTCTGGCTCAGACTGAGGGATGAGACTGCAGCATTAGAATAGGACCTTGAAACCCAGAAGGAGGAAAAAAAAAAAATCTCTTTACCATAGTAAGAAGCTCTAAAGGAGCAATGTATAAATTTGCTTTGTATAAATTAATATTACAGTAGTGGCCCTACAGTATTTTCAATTTCTTTTCTTAATATATATTTAAAGCATAATTTCTAATTCTTGTATATATTTTTAACTTTCCCACAGATATGCACTTATTTGGCCATTATCCAGCTCATGATGATTTCTATCTTGTAGTGTGCAATATCTGCAATCAGGTAGTCAAGCCACAGGTTTTCCAGTCACACTGCGGTAAGTGAATGTTTTCTTTCCTGAATTACAGTGCCAAACTGGCGTATGGTTCTCCTAAGGATCATTGCATATGATCGTGACAGAGGCATTGCAATAGGCTTTTCTGGTTATCTTGTGTTCCTTCCACAGAAGGTACCAGCAATGCCTTCAAATAAACATATTTCCTTAGAGGAAGTTAAATTAGTTGTTCTTGAAGCTTTTCAAGTTGAACTTGTTATACTAAATTAACCTATTACACCAAATCAATCCTGTTAGTTAGATACTAGCTAGGCTAAAACCATTATGACCTAACATTGGCTTGTCTTTTATCAAAGCTGCAAAGTGAGGTCTGTGGTAATGATCTGCAGTAACTAGAACTTGGATGTTATGGATTGTTTTGCGATGGGATTTATGCATAGCCATATATATATGTCTAGGGTTTATTTTTGTATTTATCACAGGGTTTAATTTTTTATGTAATTGGCATTTTGAGTCACATTTCTTAAATTAACATTTTTCAAGGGAATCTTGGGAAGCAGCAGAAATGTGCAGATATTTGTTTCTCAATTAATATGACAACAGTGAGATGACAATTTTTAAGTTGGCTATTTGTAAGAAGAATTAATCCAGTTAGAGATTTTTCAGTATTGATTAACAAACTACTTTTAATTACTTCTGAGAAACTTCATCCCAAGGTCTGGTTTACTTATTACTTATCCAGTGGTTTATTTGTTATTTGTCCAGTGATTTGTTTCTGTGGTGATTTTTTTTTTTGGTTGTTTTATTATTTTTAAAGGTTTGCAATATGTGACTGGAATAGTTAGCTTTGCATGAGGTTTAATCAACTTAAGTTTAATCAAAATAATTTGAAGGTGATTGCATAATAATGAAACACAGCTAGTACTGAGGATGGAATCAATAATATTCATTACATACATTAAATACATTAAGGAAAAAATATAAAAAAGCCCAGCAAGATTTTCCTTTCCTAAATACAACAAGTAAACTTCATCAATCCTATGCCCCATTCAGCCTTCATGAGAGGAAAGCAACTCAGGGGAAAATGTTAGTGGGATGGACAGAGAAGAAGTGTATTTACTTTTGAAGACATATTGCCAAAACCCTGCCCTGTGTTTGTGTGGACAGACTGCTAACAACCAGCCAGGAGCAACTGCATTCGTGTTCTGAGTCAGTTGTGTGATTTGCCACTACCTTTGACCTAGGTGGAGATAATTGTGAACAAGTGGTAGTAGTGGAATACAGTGTTTGCATCCAGTGAATAAGAAAAGGTCTGGAAGTGTTATTGTAGGGTGAGAAGGGCTTATGAATTTAATGGTGGGGGCAGGTGTTGATTTTAGTGTTTTAACAAGCCATCCTGCTATTTTCCTTCAAAATTTGTGTCTTGCCCTCAGTCTTATAGGGTTCCTTTCTGCTCAGTTCCGGTATCTTACGATTCTTTCAGGGACAGAAAAGCTTCTCTGCATGTGGTCATAGGTATAGTGTGTACCATAAACACTGAACTGTGCATCAGTAAAAGGAGCTGCAGTGATAGGGCAAGGGGCAGGGGATACAGACTGAAGGAGGAGAAATTTAGATCAGGTACCAGGAGAAAGTTTTTTCCTGTGAGGATGGTGAGACACTGTCCCAGGTTGCCCAGGGAGGCTGTGGCTGCCCCAACCCTGTCAGTGTTCACAGCCAGGTTGGATGAGCCTTGAGCAACCTGCTCTGGTGGGAGGTGTCCCTGCCCAGGGCAGGGAGTTGGGACTGGGTGATCTCTAAGGTCCATTCCAGCCCCTTAACAGTCTATGAATCGATGACTCTGCTGCAGAACAGAGGAACCTGTGTAACACCTTCTGTAGTTGTGCTTTTTCCTGGGCATGACCTGGTTTGGGGAGCAGTGTGAAAGTTGGTCCTGTTTTCTTGTAGCAGGCATATAGAACGATGTTATTACTAGATGAGAGTAAATTATTCTGTGTTAGAAAGGACTTTTTGAGCTCTTTGTAAGTAATGAGTTGTCTTCAGTGTTAGTGTATTGCTTTTAAACTGCAAAGATCCTGTGAATTACTGTCCTTTTTTCTTTTTCTCTTTTCTCCTTTACTCCATTATTTATACAATTCCTTTTACTTCATTTGCTTCAATCGTGTTACACTGCAAGATTTAACATTAGGTTCTGAATTGCTTGATTTAAGAGCCTAAGGTCAAGAAAGACATGGGAAAAAAAATAAGACTCTACTAAAAAAAATGGAGAATACTGAAAATAATTGACCAAATGTTTTAGCTCTTGTAGACTGTTCTTAATCTAGTAAGATCTGTTTCCTGAAAGGTGTACTGGAATATTGCTGAAAGACCTGTGACAGAGCTTTAAACAGATATATTAATTTGTTTTGAAGAAGAAACAGTAAAAGTGATGTACTAAAACCATATAAAAGAAGTTTTAGAAAATAGAAGGTTTCTTGGAGGTCTTGAGCATTATTGTAAAATAACTACTAACTTATTTTTTAATAACTAATCTGTTAAAAGTACAAGATGTTGTTGTGTGTGTAATGCATCTACTAACCTATAGCTGTTTATAAGAAATGAGATCTAAAGAAGAGCTACACATAGATGTTATTAATTGATCTGTAGTTGCATTGTCTGGGTAGAAACTGATTTAAAACTGTTAGAGAACAGATCAGCCATGAGCTGCTTGTGGCTGAATAATCCCACTGGATGTGTTGTGGTATCAGCAGTGCATGGAGAAAGGCCTGGAGGAGGCTTTGTTTGACACTGATTCTGGCTGCGTGGGGCTCTTCTGGGAAGCAGTGATATTTAATTTTCTGGTTTATTTAGAGTTTTATCACCTTTGGACACAATCAGTTTGGTGAATCAGGTTTTCTTTAATCAGAGCATGCAGCAGTATACCTGTAAATTCAGTGATGCTGAGCATGTCTTTCAGTAGACTTTGAGGTATTTTGGACTGTCATGTTTACCACAACTAATCTGGTCAGGCACTGGAATATTGCCCAGGGAGATGGTGGAGTCACCATCCCCGGAAGTGTTTAAGAGGCATCTGGATCTGACACTGGAGGATATGGTTTAGGGTTTAGGGGTTCCAGCAGAGTGGCAGGTTAATGGTTGGACTGGATGATCTTAGAGATCTCCTCCAATCGTGACGATTCTATGATTCTAAAATGCATTATTACACAGGTCTGGAACTGCAGCTTCAAAGTTGTAACATGGACAATGGAGTGAGAAAGTGTCAGAAGCTGCTACTGGTTTTTTGACTCTTGTAGGCTGTGTCGTGGGGAGTTTTTATTGCTACTGAAAATCTATCCAAGAATCTCCCATAAAGTGTGGTTAATTGCTAATATTCCTGGTAAAATCCAGTCCATATTCTCTCAGTAAGGAGTTAGGTCCGTGCCAGGCACATGCTTTTTGTTCCTAGGTTCTCTGCATTGTAACTTGGAAGGCCTTAGCTCAGAGCTGCACTGGAATGCTTAGTTTAGCAAACGTTTTTGTAACACTTGTGTTGAGTCCTTACTGGCATTTGCCTTTGTCTGGAGAATCAGAAGACACAGTTTCATTCGCCTCTGGTTTCAGACATGTGGCAGCAATCCTCAGTGGCTCTGGGAGGTTTTGAATATTATAGAGGCTGATGTTGCTAAACTTTTAAGGGTTTGGTTTCTTTAATATCAAGCAGAAAAGAGAGAAGAATTTGGTTGTGGTTCAGACTGTTTGTTAATGGGAGGCAGTGCATCATACAACCTCAGACAGTAGAAATCAGGAAGGTAGAAGAGATCTGGCTGATTAGAGGACTGGCTGGCAGGACTTGAGGGCATGTGTAGTGAACACAGTGTGAAGCTCAGTGCTGCAATGTAGTAAATCTGTTCTAGCCTCTGAGTCAGAGAAATTCTGAATTATTTTTAAGAGCAGTTTCACATCCTTGTATCTGTGGAATGAACGTTTATATCCTTGGTAAGGATTAAGCCTTTATGTACATGTGACATAAGCTCCCTGAAGAAGAGACTTGCTGTTAGAGGCTGCAGGTAATAGGCTCATGTAAATCAAATAATTTCTTGAGGTCATTCAGTACTTTTGGGCACTTAGAAAATAATGTATCATAATGTCATCAACAGCAGGGTTGAAATACAGTTGTTTGCTGCTGTTTTCTTTTGAGTAACTTCTTGCAGTGGTACAATATCTTGGATTTATTTTCTCTAATGTGCAAACATGTAATTGTATTTATTCCTCCACAAAGCAGTTTGAAATGAGAACTCAGCCTGGTTATGCAGCTTGTAGCATTTTTATGTGTTCCTGGCATGTGAGGAGTTTTAGCTTTGATTTTTAACAAATTTTAATTTGTTCTCAAATGCCAACCTCAGCAAAGATACAGATCATTTCTTGGGACACCAATGTATGGTACAATACTCAAGTACCATAATGTTCTTGCTGCTTGTGTAGGGGTTTTTTTCTCCAATACATCTGTTTTCTAGGAGATTTTTAGGCTGGCAGCCTATGCTGAGCTCTGTCCTTACAACTTGTGCTAACTCCAATTCTATGTCATTGTTAAATGCTTGTTCAGATGGCACCCATACCATTTCCATTTTCCTTTGGCCCCAGAAAGAGTAAAGCTTCATATTCTTTTACTGCATTGTCCTTTACTAGACTAAAGAGCATCAGATACAGATCTGTTTATTGGGTTTTTTAATGTTTTATGCAGTAATAGTCTCGTTAACTTTGGGTTTTCCCTGTGAAAAGTATAACCTCTCATAAAAGGTAGCACAGTGGAGATCAAGCAGTGTGAATTCAGGGAGCTTGTCAGAACATCTTGACTTTGACTTTCAATGTGAGGGAAGAAATTAGTGATGGGAAAGTGTTGAAACTAAAGAATGAATTTGTGGGGAAGAGGTGAAATAGCCAAGCTAAGTAATGCAGCTTGGTTAAACAATAATGGCAGTACAACCATCAAGGAACCTTTCCAGACATGCTGTGGAACAGATTCCAAAACTGTGGATGGTATCTTCATGAACCATTTGATGAAG